GTCCGGACATTAGGTTTTTTGACTGTTATTCCAGAGACAAATGATAAGCCAGAACATTAGTTTTCGTGACTTTTATTCCGGAGACAAATCATTAGTCCGGATATTTGTTTTCCTGACTGTTATTCCGAAGACAAATGATAAGTCCGAATCTTATTTTCGTGACTGTTATTCAGGAGACAAATGATAGGTCCGAATCTTATTTTCGTGACTGTAAACCAATATTTAACTGTTTTAAAGTAACAGTAACCAGTTTGGCGTTAAATGTACCGTACAATATAATTGAATTATAGTATTTTATGAACATGGTAACTCGACCTGTACAAGTATCACCCACTCCTTGTCTTTCCCACACGCAATGAAACGTTAATTACGTACTTTCGGATGATTTTTTGCCACTTATTTTGTGACAATCTTGGTCGTAAGAACGCTGTGTTTGGTAGTAATATCATTTCAGGACAAATTCAGTATTGATCGGATGACGTTTGACTTTCGAGTATTTCTCTTTCCTGGATATATATTTAATATTGCTGGTTTAAACGCTTGCCTCAAAGGCCTTATTCATGAATAATTCAATCTTGGTCCTTTGAACGCTTGCAATTGTCTAAGGAGAATTTCTTATTCCCGGATTATATTCAATCTGGGTAGTTTGAACGCTTATCTAAGGTGCATTTCTCATTCACGGATATAAACTTAATCTTTATCGTTTGAATGCTTGTCTAGGGAGTATTTCTTATTTAAGTTATAGTTTAATGATATTTAATCAACACGTAGAATCGATTTGTCTGAGGATTTATCGCCACAATGGACATGCTTGTCGATGAAACACTTATATAGCAATGATATGCGGAAACCGTTATTGATATTGCAAGACACAAATAGTCGATAATAGCAATTACTCGTGGAAACCACAATGGGTGAATAATCAAATCAAATATAGGTACTATTGATAGCGAACAGTGGGAATTGATAATTATCAATATTTATCGATTAGGTGTATAACACATGTCTACCCCAGCACGTCAGGGTAATTAAATATGGATATGTATGATGAAAAGAACGATAGACGGAATAGCCGAAGGAATTGTTATTAAATGATTTTACACGCGACAAGCCTCGTTCTAGTTTCATTGGACTGGACAGAACCAGATCGAGGCTGCATTGAAATGACCGGATATTCTGGTTTAACTATGTATATAATACAGTAAACAATTGTTCAAGTGTTCAAACACGGGCCAAGGATAGGTCATTAAATGACAATAGTTAAAACATAGTTGGAAAATAGATCCTGCGCCATACGTCTGTGAATTTGAATCAAGTTGTGAAAAGGGCCTCAAATGCTTTCTTCTAAGCAACGACTCAATACATCTCTTACTTGATAAAGATCGTATTTAAGAACAAGGTAGCTCACTTGTTCATGGATAAACGTAGTTTTTAAAATTTAAATCTTGTTTTCATGTAGTTAAAATAACGAAAGAAAAAAAAAGAAAGAAAAAAAGAAAGAATAAAGCTTAAGAAATGAATATATATATATATATGTATATACAACTACACTCTATTGGTTTTGGACATGAAAGGATTTCCACGCTTAACACCGGTATCAAAGAAAGCACAAAAATGAAAATGATGTAAAATGAAAGTGTTAGTGTTCCTAACATTACAAATTAGAAACAGGATCCGTCACATGTGAATTGTGAAGAAAACATCGCGAGCTCCTTTAATAGTGTAATAAAATAGTCAATGGGTACACGTTTTATATAGATACATTAGGACTGTATTAGACTGTGGTCTTAACTTTCCACCATACCGTACATATTAAAGTGAATGTCTGTCGGATACATTTTTTTCGGTGTTGTGCACACACTATCAGGGACGATTAAAAGTAAAGCACAGAGATCAGAAATTCCAGAATGACGAGATATAGAACGATTTGTAATAATCCACACATCCCTGGACGTCCAGAAAGGTGATTTCTACTCAGTATCCAGTATTCTTAGGCTTGAACGATTCTGGAAAAATCTTTAACCTAATAGATAAGAGTTAAGTCAAATATCCATTATCATGTATGATTAATCCCGAGACTTCCCGAATATAAATAACATTTTCCGATATGTATGAATTTATGGTAAACCATGAGGTATTTCGAAATAATAAACCAATAAAATGTTACCAGATAATATTATACAGTCGATATGAATATAAATTAAATGACAGATAAATAGAATGTTGCCCGTTAAGATGACATGTTTATCTACCTGTCACAAAATTCGGATTTATCGTATGTTCTGTATCTATATTCACGTTTGTATATAGTTTTCGCAATGATAAACAAAACAATACGCTAAAATGTCCCATTTATAGAAATACTGACGTCAATAAATTCAGCTTGTCTTGTCACTGTGAAAATTAATTGATTTTTTATAACAAGAAAGCATCAACTTATCTTAAATCTTACTAATTACAGTATTTTTTTTTTCGTTTATTTGAAATAAAATCTCTTTATTGAATAAATTAAGAAGTGATACAGCTGTTAATCAGCTGGCACGACGCAATGTGTCTAACATTTTTTCGTGTCATAAATTTATGTCATTTTCTGAACAGAATACACATGGAAACTGTAAATAGAAGTCATCGCGGTTAAGTAGTTGACAAAGACTACTTTTAAAACATTTTGTAGTAATGGGTTTCACGTGTGTACTGTCAGATAAACGTCTAGCAGACGACGTTGACAAACTTCGTAATCCCTTCTGTTATGTTGCTGATAAGATCTTTATGCTAAATTGCGTGTTTGACCATAAATCTATTCTCTCGTGATTTTAAAACTTTGTGAAATTACTTTGTGATGCCGTGTGTGTGTGTGTGTGTGTGTGTGGGTGGGTGTGTCTGTGTGTGCGTATGCGTGCAATTGCGTTTGCGTGCGTGTGTGCGTTCGCTTGTGCGTGTGTCCGTGTGTGTGCGCATTCGCGTGTGCGTGTGTGAAGGTCTCTAACCGAAGTCTGACAATTTCTGATATGTCGGTATATTGATAATAAAAGTGACCGGCGGCCATTTTTGTTTATTATGGAAGACATCTGTCTCTATTTCTATACGGGCCTAATTATTGTAGTAATCTGAGATATACAGTCTCACAAAATATAGGGTTGTTAACCTAATGACATAAAAAGAGAATGTGACGAATTCAGAATGAAATAAGATTTTAAATACAACGCCGACCCGGGGAAAAAGGAACTACAAGTTTAAAGAATGTTGTATACCTCCCGCAAGGGTGAACAGTTTTCTTAACATGGTAACAAAACACGACCAGACTAATACTGAAATATTGTAACGAAAAATCCATTCCATTCCCGTAAAGATTTTCCGGAACTGAAATTCGAATTTCCGGACTTATAAGTACAATTAACGTTATGGCAATCCGTTCCCAAGTATTTCCGTCCGGATTGTGAGACTTCCGGACTAATTGCGTTCGGATTATCATATTAAATATAAAGATTATCGAAAGGAACGAAGTGTGTATTTTGCACCTTCATATTTTCGGCCAGAGAACAGCTGATATATATCTTGTACGTGTACCAAGTAAAAAAAACATGGTTGACTTACACGGAAAATTAAACACAGATGATATATTTTTTCCCTGTGAAGTGGGATCCAATGATACCACGAGTGCCTATTCGTGAAACACAGATATCTCATGATGGTAACAGAGTGTGGGAGTGAGTGTTGAAGGTGGGGTGGAGGAGGGGGGGGGGGGGGCGGGGGGGTTAGGAAAGGGAAGGCCATACTTCTACAGGATATTGGTTAATATCCGAGTTCTCTCCCTTGGAAGAGATGCAGGTTTATCAAACTGTAAAGTACTTAATGAGTGTAGATTTAAAACCTAATGTGTATGTGACGTTAAAGGATGGGGTGGAGGGGTGGAGGGGGGATGGGAGGGTTTCGGTTTTACCTACACAATACATTTTTTACATGCCTTTCATATTCCCAGTCACAAATTCACATGCATCCACGTACATGAAAACGCGTAACATCTCACGAACAGTATTGCTGTTTGTCATGGTATCCCACATTACGTAATATATTTTCTGCAGTCAACCCTAATTTATTAACTACGTGCTACATACATTTACATGACAAGAAGCTATCGTTATCTTCATACAACGGTACGACAAAATATCGAATAGATACGAAACGAAAAAAATAAAATTCAAGACTTTAATTACAAACTCTCTGAAGATACACTATTAGAAATGTTGGCGAGAATATCATACTTAAGATATACTGTATGCTATCAAGGATCGGACGGATACAGTTTGTAAACATCGTGGGCTTCATACTTTGTGAATGAATATTACTATTAAATCCTGGTAAATACTAGCTGCAATATACCGCTCAGCTAGAGAGAACTTCTCTTTAATGAGTCAGGGGTCCCGGGTTCGAATCCTAGCGGAGGCATTGAATAGATTACGACTTCTGTTACACTACACTAACATTCTGAATTGAATTGCAGACAATTGGAAACACATCAGCGCAAAATTAAAAACTAAAACAACTTGGCAAGGATGTACATATACTGTAAACTCTTGTAGATTTCAATAGTCAGGATAGCTATGGACAATAAAAATGTATTTTTTTCTTTATATCGGTACTTTTCACTTTTAATTAATGATACTGCCAAGGGTCAACCTTGGTCAGTTTTCACTACTGTTTATGACGTTATACATAATGACGTCACAATTACCGCTTTTTGTGGACAGGCACATACACCACTCCTATCGAGTTATAAAATTAAAATTGATATAAAAGGAAAGACGTCGAAAATCAAAGCATGTGACAGTGAACCCGGCGATCTACATTGGCTAATGTGAACTTCGGTTTAAATGATCCCCCGCGGACAGGATGTGACACATAATGTCATCAGTTTTTCATTTATTTTATATCAATATTTGAAATTGCTGAAATGGAAAGTTTCATATTTGAATTTTTAAATATATATCAAGTTTACTTACTTCTTGTGTAGGTCGAGGCTTTTTGAAGCAGTTCTCCAAAATCGAAGTCATCTGGAAAATTCTCATCAAAATGTTCATATTTTGGTTGAATTTTCAATTCGCTCTTTAGTTTGTAAAATATAGGTTCTACAGCAAAATAGCAGTCACTTTTTCCTTTTCCCCTTTGTCCCATATTTTCATGAAAAAATAGTCCAACATTTGACCAGTTAAAGGCTTTAGCTACTTCTAATACAAATTCCGCATTTTTTGCAAAAGATCCACGAATCCTTGTAAGTAATTTATATTCTGTCTTGTTGTCGAAGGCTTTCACCGCCGCCCCCGCACTAATTACAGGTATGTCCCAGTAACCCGAAAATCTGGCTATAGGCGCCACGGCGTAATCACAAGCTGGACCAAAAAATACGTCAACATCGCGGTCAACGTAAAGGTCAATTGCCTTTAGAGGTCCGATTGTCTCCGAACATTCCGAATCTCGATAATTTACCACAAATTTATGATTAGGCAATTTTGTAGAATTTTCAATAGATTCGATTGCGTATTCTATAGCTGGAAGAACTTTATTTTTTACGAAAAGATGCTCTCCTCTTGACGGCAATAGAACTCCTAATTTCACTTCCTGTTTCCCAAGGCAACTTCCGCAAATTAGCAAAAGTACAAAATAAAGAATCGTCTCCATATTGAATACACGGTAGAGAGCGATACGTTCTATTCCCAATTTGCGTTTCGTTTTTTTATCCAGTTTCATATTTGCTTCCTCTATATATCAATGGTAATATCTGCACTGAGAAAAATGCTTTCCTTTCCACGTTCTTCTGGAACAGTTATCATATTGAGATAAAGACACACTTGCTCAAACTTTACGAGAGCTTTTGCTGAATTGATTACACTTCAAAGAGCAATAATTTTACATTTTAACTGCTTCTTCGAATTAATCACATGATACGTTGAATTTTTCTCCTTTCGTTTCGTTTCCTTCTTTATTCCATGAAATGAGCAAATTAGCATGATATTTCTTTTGTCACAGAAGGCAGCGCGCACTATTCAGCAGACCCCGTTTGCTTACATTTTCATTGTACCAGCTCTTTAGCTCAGCTCAGCAATTCAACTATATTCGCTGTCTGTGTGTAATAACTCTATCCACGAGAGCTAGCAATTGTGTTGTACAATTCTGTTACATTCTGTTTCAAACACAATGGTTGTGTTACAACAGCTGCTAATACCCTCCTTGAATGACCGATCCTCCAGGAATGACCACTTGAAAGCAGGCGATACGGTGTAATTCTAGGTCGTGGATACTCTTGTCACTAACATCAGATCTATATCAATGTTGAAATTGATTATTAACGATGAAATATACACGAGCGCACAACATCGGGGACTTACCTGTACAATTGACAAGGAAATAGATGCTTAATGAACTTGCTTCTACCTTTTAAACTTTCAATTGTAATTACGGTACGGAAAATCGAATAAAACACAAAATAAAAATGTTATATATCAATATTCTCTATATTTAGGTAATCAAATCCTATTCTTCTTAGTGTCCCTATTTCGTCTTGTAAAATTGATATTATAGAGATGTTTTGTCAATCTCTGTAATTGACAGCACCAAACTGTTACAACTACACTAACATTTTATGTGAGTTTACATCTTATTAAATTCTGAACTAAATAAAATTTACATGTCGCAAAGATTTCACAATTTGAAATTCTATAGCGTTAGAACAGTCAAGAATGTTTTACTATTTTATCATGTCTATAATTAATTTGATCTGTAATGGACATTTTACATTTCAATACGTCTAAATAATCGTATTTTCTCCTATCTAAATCGAACGAAGCAACCACAGTGTTGGAAAACATAATAAACTTTTTTTTCCAAAATAGTTAATGAAATTGGTTGTAATAATTTGCTTTTATAGTCCGCAGTTTCGTATCTATAGGGTTAGAGCCAACACCTCCAACTACGCAGCGTCGTTTATAGTGTTTCCTAATGTCAGATTATTACTGTTCTAATTCTGTTATCACTTCCATTTTATTGTTGTGATAAACTTAATTCATCATAACGCTCTTATCATACTGACTTTTTATGTGACGTTCACTATTTCGAGAGACAAAAAACGTCTTCACTTGACTTTTTCTGTTGACATTTCTATTTGTGATGTGTGCAATACAAGTCGTAACACACCTGTATCAGAAATAGCAGTCTAAACACACCTGTGTCTGTCATACCAGTCTAAACACACTTGTATCTGTCATACCAGTCTAAACACACCTGTATCTGTAATACCAGCCTAAACACACCTGTATCTGTAATACCAGTCTAAACACATCTGTATCAGAAATACTAGTCTAAACACACATGCATCTGTAATACCAGTCTAAACACACCTGTAACAGAAATACCAGTCTAAACACACCTGTATCAGAAATACTAGTCTAAACACACCTGTATCAGATATACCAGTCTAAACACACCTGTATCTGTAATACCAGTCTTAACACACCTGTTTCTATAAGGAATACTAGTCTAAACACACCTGTATCTGTAATACCTGTCTAAACACACCTGTATCAGAAATACTAGTCTAAACACACCTGTATCTGTCATACCAGTCTTAACACACAAGTATCAGAAATACTAGTCTAAACACACCTGTATCAGAAATACTAGTCTAAACACACATGTATCTGTCATACCAGTCTAAACACACCTGTATCTGTAAGTACTACCTGTACCTATATTATACCTGACATAACATACCTATACTTGAACCTGGATACTTCTATAAACATTGTTTTTACCTGTGATATATGCATTTAACCAGTAAACATTACTTACCTATACTTATTGAATACACAAAATTGACTCGTCGTGAGGTTGAATACAAAACTACCAAGCCCCTCTACCTTGTGGTAACCTTTCACACAGACGTAAGACTAACACGTTCAGCGCACTGCTTTGGTCTAATCTCTGTCATCTTACACCAATCTGTTGTGACGTATTTATATTGATATTTATAGTACTGTCGAATTAAAGTAATTTGTTTAATCCGCGAAAAATACAAAAACGTTCGAATATATTTCGCCACAGCATTTCACCCTGGTATGGAACTGGGTCAAAATCAACAACCACTAGAAATATTTTTGTTGAGATTGTATACAGTGTCTATTGCTAAATCCCAATTTTTAAGCGAAGATGTCACAGTTGTGTTTAATTCCTGACAATGTTGTCGTCACGAGGTATCCTAGTATGATCGCTGTTATGGTATAAACACTATTGTTGTCCATATTAATAGCGCTGTATCACACACAACATCTGTCTGTATTGTATATATATCCGTTAATAGGTCTGTATCATAGCAATAGTTAAAAAACTTCCTCTCCTAAAACATTCTTCATTCCTTGTAAAGGAAGTGACGTTGTTTAACGTTCAATAAAGAATGAAGACTTGAGAATGTAAAACAAACCTGTATAACGAGCTGAGTATTTAGCTCTACTCAAAATATCTGCCGGAATCGTTGTAGAATTCCTTTTCATTCTCAAGTGATTAACCTCTGTAGTGAATAGCACCGCTCTACTAACATCTTAACATGCCATCACTGACTGTAGCCCTACCATCACAGGACAATCGTGTCAGCTTAGTGATGGACAAAGCTTCGTTCAACCGATCTAAACCAGTAGCCATACACACACACGGTTCAATCCCCTAGTTGTCAGCAAGCAAAGACGTTTAGCACAAAACTAGATCGAATATTCACATTTCTCACACAAACTAATCTTCTCTAGAATTAAACTAATATTGCAATTTTTGAATAAGTTCATAATTATAAAACTTAAAACGGATGATTATCGGAATTTGAGTTTATCTAAACAAAATGAGTCTTGATTTAAGATAACAACACTTGTAAGGGTCGCAATGTGTCTCCAAACTCTCGAGTCAAGACAAATTCTCACACTTCATTTCATTTCATACGTTATATGTGTATATAGCAAGCTCGCGTTACTGTGGCATAAAGTTATTTAAATATTTCTGCTATACAAGCCTATAGTTAAGTTGTATGCTGTTGCTGATCGCGTTAAGGCACTTTGATTCGCTACAATACGTCCCAACTCACACGTGTCATCAAAATAGCTATTTATTGCCGCTCAACACGCCAATTCAAATTTTAATTTTGTTCTGTTATAATTTATTCAAAGCTTATTGAATGTTTTCCGTTATATGGGCCCAAATACTACTTCCTCAACTTTACAAAATCTTGCATACAAATTAATCTTACAGAAATGAATACCAGAGATTTGAACACCTATAAACACGAACGAATGAATAGTAGAAAAAAGTCTGACCAGCTTAAGGCGGTGTCAGAAAGATAATTTCCACAAAACAAATCTGAACTAAAATGTCAAAATTCCAAACATTATGGGCATACTTTTGATTGGTGGAATTTTTTTATCATTTTTGTTTCGTTTTATTCATATCTTTCTTTAAAATTAGGGGTAGTTGAAATAAAAGTTTTCTAAAATAGATTGTGAAAATAACCAGACTTTCTACAGTTGTTATTCCTAAGATTGTAACGTTATTGAATTATAAGCATGGATCTATTTACAAACTTAAGTTATTGATAACATACACCTAGTCCATGTTTTTAATAACGTAAAGAGTATTCATTTTTATATTAACCATTCCGTCAATTTTCAATGATAATAATTGATAATTGATTATTAATATGTTCATAATTAACGATCAGGTGATGTAACAGAAAGTATTAAATATTGGGTATCTCTCTGTAAAAAGCCATGGTCATTCGGAAAACATCTGTACTATTACTGGTGACTACATTACGAACAACATACGGGAGGCCCGTCGCTTGTTATCACCATTAATTGTATTTTAGTGTCTTGAGAACGGACTGATCCAGAATATTGTGTTCCATTTAATCTAAAATACCTAGGTGATAATACGGTAACATTATTAGTAAAGTCAACAGCATTCTGATATCACACTCAGAAGTCATGTCTCAAGACGATACATTTACCAATAAGTCATATTGTAATATCAACAGGGTAGACAGTCGATCTTAAGGGACAGTTCTACATGTATAAGAATGAAACGAACACGTCGAGCGATGAAATCTACATCCGAAGACTATTCACTTAACTCCCTAATCAAACTAAGGATATATAACAGCTGCTTCAACCAATATTTACAAATCCGTCCACAAAATTAATTATCGACATTTGTCTTTGATATGACACGGAGACATGCCCTTAAAGTACTATGTGTCGTGTTGCTTGAATCAACTATGACCAATAAACCTTGATCAACGACCCAATAATTAGCCACCAGGGTGATAATGACACGTTGATTGATCAGACACACCCCTGTTGTACTCGGCAATAAGGGTTCAGACACTATATACTATAAACAAGTTGATAGTGTTATTTCAGTTATCACTTCTCACAAACGCTAAGAGATGCTTGATCGCAAACTGGATATTAAATTCAAATACAATATTGGAACCTTATTGTAGTGACACAAATCATTTAGCAGATACTGGAATTATGAACTTATTAACGTACACCTCAGTCGCAGACGGCTATCTTGACACATGTGGTTCATACTGCAGAATGATTAATTTTCGTGGGACTGTTTTTTTTTTTTAAAGAAATTTCTATTTTGTGAATAATTAGTACCAACAGAATCTACAAATGTTAAATTTTCAAATCATCGTTAAAACTGTTTATTTATTGGTGGACATAGAATATTCGTGGGCAGACATACCACAAAATATCAACGAAAATAAAACACGGATAAAAAGTTTTATTTTACAGTTTTCAGCTCAATTGTTCAAAGTCTACTTAGCTCAAGAAGGCATGACTGATTTCTCCCGGATAAGATTTTTGGAAATATCTCTTAAAAATATGTATGTACTTCCAGTTTTTTACCGATCTTTTGAATCCAATTCTGGTGATATCAGTGTTTCTGTTTTGTAACAAATTCCATGTTTTATTATTAACAGAGTACGAAGGTTATTTGTACATTTCAGTAAAACAAAAATCATAGAAAGGCTTAAAGATGACATCTCCATCAACTACATATTTGCTCTCCTCAAATACACGTGTAT